TAAATTTCAAAATAAAATAACTATAAACTAAAATATAATTTCAATAAAATATAAATATTAAAAGTTATAAAATATAATTTGAAAATAAAATAAAGTATGAAATATGAAATTAATTGGATGCTATAGCCTCAAACATCATCATACACTAGGTGCTACATGACTGACCAGCCCTTAACCGGCATATGCTATGGATTCCCATCTCTGGGAACCAAGGTCGTCAACAGCTATGTAATGGCTCCAAATTAATTCCTTATTTTCATATTTAAAAGGAAATATAAATATATAAAATTTTAAACTAATTGGAATAAACTTATTATCAGAAATAAATTCACCACATATCAATCCATCAAATATTTGAATTCCAGTATTATAAACTTTGTGATGATAAGATTGAATCCAGATTTTATCCTCCTTGTTATTTTTCAACTCAGCTATATAACATTGATATATAGGAATTTGATCTCCCATAATATAGCCTTCCTGATAGAAATCATCATAATTTCCTTTTGTTTTTCCAACCTTGAAGGAAAAGTCCTTGGATTTGTTGACAAGACAACAGTGCCTTCACTTGTTATCCTTTCATGATTAGTCCATAAAGATTCCTTTCCTTTAAATAAAGAATTATAATATTTTTGTCCCATTGTTAAAATATTTTCAATATTGAAATTCATCAAATATGTTCCTTTGAATTCATCAGAGTTCCAAATAGATGTTTTCCTATCAAATTTGATGATTTGAATTGAATCCTTCAAGTTTTCCTTGTCCAAGTTTTCAATTTGAGTTTTATCAGCCTCATTATTTTCCATTTCATCAAAATAGATTGTTAAATAATTTTCCACTGAATTATAATGACATTCAGGTGGTTCCTTGTCCTCATTAGATGTTTGATCCAATTGATTTTCCAAAGAATTAAAAGTATATTCAATTTGATCCTCATTAACTATTAATTTATTCAAAGAAGTTATTTGATTTTCCAAAGAGCTTGATGATTGATCCTCAATATGAATTATTGTTTCATTCAAAGAAAATGTTGAATTATTTTCCATAGAATCAGATAGTAGCTCCTCATTCAAAGAAGATGTTAATTGGTTTTCCTCAAAGTCATATAATTGATCCTGATTATCCCATTCATTAAGAATAAAGAGTTGATTTTCCAATTCCTTCTTTTCGAATTCACTATCAGAATCAGATTCACTATCACTGTCCTCAGTATCAGATTCATATTCAGAGTCAGAATCCTGATTGTTTTTGAAAGTTTCCTTTATTGTAGTTTTCCTAAATTCTACAGGAATTTTAATTTTCTTGTTGTTCCAAAAGATAGATATTTGAGATCCATTATAATCAATAAGTGCATTGACCCTAGAAAGCCAATCATTTCCTACCAAGACCTGGTAAGAGTTTGCATCAGTTACAACTACATTCATAGGAATTTCACTACCTTCTACATTGAAAGGGAAGTTTGAAATTTCACCTAGTGCCCTTTTGCTTTCACCATGAACACTGATCATTTTAATTATTGAAGACCTTTCAGGTTTTACTTTCAATTTTTCCAACAGTTGCATAGTTACAACACTTCCAGATGATCCACTATC